GATTCTGAAATGGAAAAAAGTGTTAAAAAACATCATAAAAAAGGTAAAATTGCGAGGGAAGAAGATTTGGAAGATTCTTCGGACGGATGTGATACCGAATATGAAAATGTTACTGAAAGGGATAAAAAAGGGAACAAAAAAGCTTTACCCAAGAAAAAGAAGGAAAAACACAACATTTCCAATGCTGACGACGGAGCCGATAATGCGAAGGAATGGGGTCGAAGGAAATGGAAACACAAAAGTGATAAGAAGTCTGGAATGACAGAATCCGAGGCTACCTCTTCCTGTGACGAAAAGTATCGCTTCGTTAGAAATCGAAGGAGCCCTACTCATGCCTATTCGACAGACACGTCATCAGACGAAGAACTATGCATCAGTTTGCGTGACATACGCTTTGGAAAAAGGAATGGCGCAGACCGCGATAGAAGAGGAGTCGACGAATTCGATTGCTGCTCGCGATATACGCCATCGCCAGCACACATGTCTATGCGCGAATTGTGCCAAGTCATAAAAGAGGTCTCCAATAGCAGTGGTGAAGTTGATGTGAAACGTTTAGCAAAATCACTATCAAAACGAGCTCGCTTAGCAACAGAATCAGTTCCTTTGACCGTTATTGACAGGAAGAGAAGAGAACCGTTTGATGGGCGCAGGAACGCAGCAGGCGATGTTAAGCAGAATCACACAAATTCGAATGAAGAGGAATGCAAATCAAAAACAGAAAAGCAGCTACGTACATTTCAAAACATGTTTGGAGGTCGAAAGAAACAAAAAAATAATAAAATCAACACTTCAATGGTTAATACAGAGGAAAATTTAACACCACGGATCGAGTCCCCCATCCAGACTCAGCTTAAGCCGGCCAACACCTATGAAGATCTAATTGATCGAGATTTCAACATGATGCTGTTTAAGGTGGCCAAGGAACTAATTATGGATGAATACCAGAAGAAGAAAAACTGTGAACCTGACGAAAACGACGAGTGGTTGCGAGCCTTTGAAATGGTGGTTAAATTCGATAACGCCAAAGATATAAGGGCCGCACAACTAAAACACGAAGAGATGAAGTTGGAATCGAAATACCTCAAGAAAGGGCAAGCAAAACACTTTAAGCGAGGTAAATACGTTGGTGGTGAGCGCATCGACGATGGTGTGTATCAGGACGAAGTCACAATGCCTGATGATGGATTAGTCAACCTTGAAGGAGAGTGCCGACGTAGGAGCAAGCTCGACCATCTTTATGACCTAATTTACGCCTTACGAGGTGCACCGAGAAAAGGGGACTGGAAAAAGAGCAGGTTAGCTCTGCCTTCAAACGTTGAGCAATCCGCTGCTACCCAGTTAGTGCCTGTCTATTTGCCATGGGAGTTGCCCCAAAACGACCTCTATGGTGCATACTATACAGACAGCTATGGGTATGAGAATCAGGGATATTATCAACAATGCTAACCAAAGCCTTCTGGTAACATAATTTTGCTGGGTACATGGAACGTTTCCAATTTCTTGATATCATAATAAGCTAGATTAGCTGAACACTGATAGAGTTGTAAGTGAGTATCATCAACGGTAGAGAAGAAGCTCACATTTGTAATTGCAAGTAATTTGTGGGTCATTTTATAGTTCCAGTTTCGTAAATGCTCCTTTTACTTAGACATGAGACTAAAGGTCATTTTAATGTGGATACGAATACTTAGTTTGCAGGTTCATCCAAATGTTTATGAAACATGTAGCCCAAAGCATTCGCACTCTGTTTGGATGCTAATGGAACGCCATCATGTACAAAGGGTAATTGCCATACGATAATCAAAGTAATCATGCGCAAGGCTATTTCAGCACTTGCTGCCCTAAACTGCACCTAACTCGGTGACAGCCTTCATATTTGGCTTTACTTAATATAATAAATATGCAACACTAGGCAAT